CTCTCGCTGCTTCTGCCTTCAGCAGGCTCCTGCGGCTGGCAGGAAAATCATGTATATATAGTGATGGAAATTGAAATGGTGAAGTTTCAGTTTAGGGGGCACAAAATGCAACCCAAAGGACTAAACCCCTCTCATGCGTACAAGCGCCCCATAATGTTAACATGAGCTGCCAGATACAGGGCACGTACAATCATGTAGCAAGTTAAGCTTTGACATGGGGGACTAGTAAAAAGTTACATCCACTAGAGGATTTACTGGTAGCTATGCTTGGCAATCACTTAATCTATGATTGAAACATGGTTTTGTCTCTGAGAGCTGAAATCAGCAAGGGAAAAATGCGTTTGATGAAAGACAAATCAAATAAATGGGCAAAAGAAAATATACTAATAAAATAAGACTTCCTTGTTGGAAAAATAAATCTGAATGCTTTGGTCTTCAATTTCAGCATTTGATATCCAGGATTCTGGCATAAATAATAGGGCTGTGCGAAGCTTCGGGTGGCAATTTGATTCGGAGGAGATTCAGCCTGATTTAGTGGCTGAATCTCCAAATCCAAATCAAATCAGGGGACCAATTAAAAGGTCCGAATCGATTTGAAGCTCTCCAAATCTTCAGAAAAGAGTCAGAGAGCTTTAAAGATTTGGACAGTCCCCAGTGGCTGCAGGAGGGAGCTGGAGTCGGACTCAGAGCTGGTAAGTAGGGGAGGGGGGGCTGGAGGATGAGGAAAGAGACCATGGGGAGACCTCTGCCAGGCCCCATTCCCTGCCTGATCCCCCAGCCCCCCCGATCCCCGCCCGCCACCCCAGCCCTCGCAAGGCTGCCCTGTCCGCCCCAGCTCCCGGTGTTAAAAAAAAAGCCCGGTGCTGCCAGATGGGGGGAGTGATCCCTGCTGCCCCCCCACTGTGTGTGGGGCTCTGCACAAGCCCCCAACCCTCCCTTGCTCCCCCAGCCCCACCCCGTGTCTGCCCCACTTGCCCCAGCTCCGGTCCTTTAAGAAAAGAAAAAAAGAAAAAGAAAAGAAAAACTCCAGGACTCACTGCTCCTGCAGCAGCCCCGGGGGGCTCATGGAAGAGCTCCCCATGCAGCACGGGGCAGCGGGGATCATCCCCAACCAGGCAGGAATGGTGAGTCCAGAGTTTTTATCAGTTTTTTTTTTCCTAAAGGGCCAGAGCTGGGGCAGGCAGGGCAGCCATGGGGTGGGGGGGGGACTGGGACAGGGGGCAGGGGGAGTTGGGAGGCTCATGCAGAGCCCCTCATGCAGCATAGGGCGGTGGAGGGCAGCAGGGATTGTCCCCCACCTGGCAGCACCTGGTGAATCTGCACTTTTTTTGTGTGTGTGTCAGGAGCTGGGGTGGGAAGGGCAGCCATTGCTGGACTGGGACAGTGGGTGGGGGTTGGTCCTGGGCAATTTAAAGATTCAACAGCAGCCGAATCTCTGAGTCAGATTCAGCTGAATCGATTCAGGGACAGTGATTCAAATTGCCGAATCGAATCACTGTCCCCCAAATTGGCTGAATCTGAAGTGAATACTAGGCGCTTCGCACACGCCTAATAAATAACTTTTAGTAAACCGTAGGTGTGGATAGCCTAGGAATACATTTGGGTCCCTAATGAGGAAAGAGAAAGAAGCACTCAGTGGTACTTGGAGGATGAAGTAGTAGTACCAGTGCTGGATAGCATTGCCAGGGAGATGTTATCTAACACGGCACTTTCTTACTAGCAGATCTGTGGAAGGACTGCAGTGGAAGAGCTCTCATAATCCCAGGACATTGCTTCAGTAATTACACATTTGGTTTCATTTTAGCTGTCTGTTTTACACAAAGATACAAGCAGGGAAAACACACCTTAAAAATGATTTCCCATTACTTCCAGATATCGGAAGATGATGATCACAAAGACTTGGGAAAGTCTCCTTTTCTGGCTCTTGTTTACATTGGAGGATTATTGCTAAACTTTCAGGTCTGCTAATCTGGAAAGGCATTTTATACATTTATGCTTTCATTGCTATACATAATGAGGCCATGGACACATGGCATGTGTAATTATATCAATATTTTAAAAAGGAAAGGGGGCCTGATGTACAGCCCAGTACTAATATAACTCAAATCTAGTATAGAATTACTTCAGGAAAAATCAGGGTAAAACAATTGGTGCAAGTTATACTGCTGTGTGTCCTGCGCTTGCAGTAAATCCCAGGGTTAGCCACTCAAGACAAATAGGCTGTTACCAGATCTAGTGGGGTGATGCTGCCAAAGCACTGTATGGAGCTATCTGGGAGAACCGGCCATCTGTCTTCTGCAGATACCAGCGTGATTTACTTCACTGTAAGGAGCCAACATCAATTACACAATGTAAATTTATTGGGTGTCTAGACTCTGGATGATTTAAACCTGTCAAATGGCTGTTTTGGGGAAGTTTGTAAAAGTTTACTGGGTTCTTCAAAAACTCTTCTCTGCATTTCAAACCTATTTTCCCCCCCAGAGTGTTTATGTTTAAAAATAATAACTCATGCATGCTTGGAGGAATTATTTTAAATGTAGCCACTGTGAAAATGACTTAGGTGTTACTGTGCATTATTTATACCTCCGGTATACATAAACAATCACAAAGAGCAAGCAGTATTTTAGGAATAGGCTGAATAATAATCTAGAAAAATGTTATAAAGCCATTACACTAATAAATGTAATGGTACCCTCATTTGGAATACTGAGTTCAAGGCTGGTCATGCTATCTCAAGAAAGCCCAAAAAAGAAAATGTTCTTGGATGGACGATGAAAACGTTTACAGGTCACAGAAACAGATATCAAAAGATCAGAACTACTAATGTAGGAAACCTTAGACTAGGGACAGAAGTTACACATAAACCAGTTTAAGTGATCAGAAACTGTTTAAACCTGAAACAGAATATAAGTTCGGTGCACATAAACCAGTTTCAAAATGGCTAAAACTGGTTTGAGAAAAACCTGATTGAATGTAGTATCAGACTTAACCAACCGAGGTCAAACCAGTTTACTGAACTTGTTTCCTAGACCCCTTCCTGGTTTAAGTTAAATCGGAGTCCTCTAGCATCCCAGCATGCTTTGCAGCCCTGGGCTGGGCTGTCCCAGCCAAGCAGGGTTGGCTCTGCCCCTTTCCTCCCTATTCTGAGAAAGGGATGGATGTGGGAAACCCTGCTCTGGAGTGCTGCCAGGTCTGCCTGACAAGGGGGTGCAATGCGGGCACCAATAGGCTCCACCTGTGCATGTGGGGCCATGCATCCAGACACCAGTAGCCTGAGGGGAAGGTGGGGGGGGGCGGGTTAATCGCTGCATTGAAGGTGACTGCATCAGGGGCACCAAAATGGTGCCCTGGGCTGAGTCCGTCCGAGGAGCAGCCAGCTGTCCGCAGGGAGGAGGGATGTGACTTGGCTGCAGGGGAGGGAGTGGGGGAGCCAGGGTTAGTTATGGAGCCTGACTCAATGCTGTTTCCCACTGCAGCAGCACAATCTGGGCTGAGGCAGCCCTGGGGGGTGAAGGTCGGCACCTGCCACCTTCTGCCTCCCACTTCCAGCCCCATGGGGGGTCGTGGTTTGCAGGTGGGCTGCAGCTGCAGCATGGCTCCCCACTCCCCTCCCTCTGCCAGTGGCAGCGAAGCAAAACATTGTGGTGGGTGGAGGTGAAGCACCTGTCACCCACTGCCTGCTCACATCAGCACCAGGTGCTCAGGGTGGGCTGCTGCAGGCCAGTCACTGCCTATACCCTTGGGCTGTGGGGCCAGGCTGGACTGGACTGCGGTGGTCCATTGCCTCCCCCCACCACTGCCTACACCCTTGGCCTGCAGCAACCCACCCCAAGTGCCCAGCGCCACTCTGAGCAAGTGGCAGGTGTCAGGTACTTTGCCTCCACCTGCCGTGATAGTTTGCTCTGCTGCCGCCACTACTGGGTACAGGAGAGTATTGGAAAGCTGCGCTGCAGCTGCTGCCCACCTGCAAATCACAGCCCCCATGTAGGGATGGAGGCAGGAGGCAGTGGGCACTACACCTGGGGCCAAGTCATGCTGCTGCAGTGGGAGGCATCGGTAAGTCAGGCTTTGTAACTAGCCCCAGCTCCTCCCTTCCCTCCCCTGCAGCCAGGTCACAACCCTGCTTCCCACCTCCTCCTTATGGCTGGCTGGCCACTCCTCAGAGGCACTCAGCCTAGGGCATCACATCGGTGCCCCCACCGCTGTTGCCTGCAATGGCAGGTTTAGCCCCCACCCCCCTTTTCCTCAGACTACTGGTGTCTGGCCCCAGGTGCACCACTGGAGCCTATTGATGCCTGTGCTGCCCCACCCTGCAATGGGGGGATTAAACCCCCACTTCCCTCAGGCTCCTGGGCCCTGGCCATGCCCTTGCTCCTGCTGCCAGCCAGTGAGTGAGTGGGGGTGGGGGGACTGACAGGGCTGCTATCCCCCCTCTCCAGGCACACCTGGGCTGGGGTCCCTGCAGTCCAGGGTGGGGGTTTAAACCCCTCTCCAATCATACTCAGGCCTGCCAGCTTAGTTTCCCTCCAGCTGTCTAGCATCCTCCAGCGTCTGACCCAAGCCGCTGCAGGCATGTGCCTACATTTCCAGAGTCAAAAGTGAATGTCCATTCATTTAAAAATTGGTTCAATCTGCCCAGGTTAGACTACCCTGCAAAGATCGAATCAATTCAGGCTCCAGCTTTTTGAGTGTCTGTCCCTAGCCTGTATGAGGTTTAATGAGGACAACCTGCAAGATGCAGAATACTTCCTTGGACTCCTGGGAATCCTGAATTTTCAGCAGCCTCAGTGGGAATTGAGAACGCTCACCAGCTTCATAGTTGACCCTTTCCCTGTGCTTCTGGAATCAGTATAGAAAGTGCCCCTCCCCTTGTTTACTTCATGTGCTCTTTCTAACTCCCTTTCCTTTCAGCATGTTCATTGCTGCTTTTATTTAATTTAATTGACTTCTATTTTGTTTTGTTTTCATCTCCACATCACCTTCCATCTGCTCAACTTCAGCTTCAGTGACTGGAATGATGACAAACCAATCTTTACAAAAATACCATACTTTTTAGAAAAGAGAGCATGAGTATTGTTTTCTAAAGGAAATGCATTGCACTATCCAAGTGCAACTCATCAAGGTGAGTATAAAATTCAAGAAACAGAGGTTCTTCAGTGAAGGAACTCAGGATCTGCTGAGAGTAAGGGGTGGTGATGGACCTATACTTCAAGAATCATATTCTCAGCTGGCACAAGTCAGCATAGACAACTGGGAGGGGAGGCATGGGGGGGGGCATGTGCCCCCCTGACAGGGCCGTTCCCACCACCGACACTGCTGGTGGCATCTGCAGGTGCTCGATGTGCCCCCCTGACGGCCATCCCCACTGCTGATACTGCCAGTGGCATCTACAGGTGCTTGCCAGCTCCGTCCCCACCACCGGCAGCATCTGCCCCCACCGCCTCCCAACTCAGGAGGCACTAGTCGCCCATGCACAGTTTCATTTCCTTTGGCAGAGCTGTGGTGATTAACAGCAGCTGAGGATTGGGCCTTCTCTTCTTTGGGAAGCCAGTAAAAGATTTTTCTCTGTTTCTGTAAAAAATGCATGCACAAATGCAGTCAAATAGGGACAGGATTATACTTGTGCAGAGACCACAGTTTTACAGCTAACAAATATTAGACCTGTCCATTAATGTTAACTTCTGTTTTGTTGGATGAATGTTAACATAATCTCGATAACTTACATTTTTCAAGCAATTATGGAGTACCCAAACTGCCTTTAGTGTGCAGTACGAGAATCCGTGCAGAGTGTGCATGTTTGCGATTCAGGTAACAATTCTATGAGTAATTATGTATTTTGTCAAAACTAATTCCAGAAAGTGAAGGGTATGTTCTGCTACACACAGCAATGGCAGCCTGCAGTGAGAAAATGGAACTACCCTTTGACAAAATGATTGTTTTCTCCTGCAGTTTTCTTCACATGCTCTAATGGTATTTGCACGAACCAAGACTGAATGTACCACTATTACGACCATGCTCCTTGATCTGATTGCACTTATTTTTATATGAGCCTTTAGTAGCTTTGTTCCTTTCCTTTCCTTTATTTCTTGGTTTTCCAGTTCAGAGAGGAAACATGCTATGCAATAAATTTCCTGCTTTAAAATCTTATATTTGGCCTAATAATCACTTAAACCTGACAACGCTTTTAGACAAAACAGAACTGAAATAAATCAGTAGCAAATAGTCAGAATCCATTATAATATTCATTTGCATATCAAAATTTTTGTGGCTAATTACATTACTTCCTAATTGTGAATACCACACTTGCAGACTTACTTTAAAAATGAAAAGAAATGGAAAGGTTGGAAGAGTGCCAAATGTGACATTTTCCATTTAGTTTCCATTATATTTTAATCAATATATTTTGGGCTGCTAGAGGTTCTAACTTAACATTTCATTACTTTATACATGTGAATGTAGAAAATATTTTTATGGTTATCCTTGTATACATTTTGTCACTGACATTTCCCTGCAGACTTTTAATTTTTGTTAATTTTGCTTGGGGGGGGGGGGGGCTGTTTTTACATACTAATTTTTGTTAATTTTGCTTGGGGGGGGGGGTGCTGTTTTTACATAGCTGTGCTGCTTCATATAGGATGAATCCTATAAAATTTAAAAAAAATCCATAAATGAAATGCTGAAAAATGAGGGGAAAAAAAAAGATTCCAGGTCAACAGATCAACACTTACATCACCTGACAAATCAACAGAAAAGTAATTTATGTTTTCAAGCTGTTGATTAAAAATATTTTAAGTTGAAAATTGTTATTACAGCAAAAGGGATAGCTTTTCAGTGTGATGTGTGTGTACACATTATGGGTGTGTACTCATTGATCCAAATATGCTCTTATAAATCTGTATTGTCAGTTATTCTCAATGAAGTTGCAGTAGTGTAAGACTGGTAAGCAATTTCAGACTTCATGTGCGCTAAAATAAAGATCTGGGTTCCAGTGTGGCTTTGATCACAGGCAAAAACATTTGCTCTTGTCTCTGTTAATCCCATTAGCAATACAACTGCAATTACAAATGTAGGTCCCAGTCCTGCAGAACTCTTGAAGTCAAGGGGTTCTTTACCAAGAGCACTTGCAAAATCAAACACTTATTTTGGATATGGTAGGTCAAATAATTATTGGGGTTTTTCTCCCATGAAACAAAACAGTAACAAAGCTAATGAGAAAGGTGGGCTAGGTTCCAAGTTTCCCTGAGGGGAGAAGAAGTAGAAAATAGATCTGGCGTGGCTTTAAAACTGCACAGTCCTAGGCAATCTATCATGCAGGGCTAGAGTACCATAAAAGCCAGTTACCTTCATCTCCTTCACTTTTGGCTAAAGGTGTGCTATTGAAGAAAAGAATGGAAAAGAGAGTGAGATGTGAATGAATGGGCTCATAACAGGCTGAAAAGGAAGTCTGAGCCAAATGCATCCCTGGTGTCATTCCACTGCAGCTAATGCAGAAACACCATGGATAAATCTGGCATTCAAACTCAGAGTACAGATGGCTGCAAAGGCTCAAACATAAATATACTAGAAAGAAAATTGGGTTCTCTAAACTGAAAGCTAAGAAGTTGTGCCATAGGTTTCCGAGTAAATGAAAGCTGCCTTCTGTTGGTTTTCCTGTTTTCACTTGACCCTTCATATGAACCATCCAGGGCCTGTCATTGTCAAAGCGAAATGCAATTCTCAGCACAAAGCTTTGAGCATCTGAGCAGATGGTGACCTTATCCCTGAATGTCAGTTCACCAGGCCGCATGCAGCAGGCTTTCACATTAAAATTTAATGGAGATGACCGTACAGATGTAGAACAAAGTCGCTTCAAAGGGGCGCAAAGCAAACGAGGAATGTGTCTAAGCCAGACAGGTTTGAAGGGCTGAAAAAGAAATAGCTTTTGACTTGTTCTTAATACTCTTGTTGGATTGTCAGAAGTAAAGAAAAATTCCCTCTGGCAGTGTAATATATATAGCATCAGCAATGTCACATTCTTGTTTTATAGAAATGATAATTTTTTTCTTAGCTGCTGTGGCATTGTTCAGACAATTACATTGAACTGTGCATCTTAAGCAGGTCCTGCAAATTCCAAAGACTAGGCAATTTTTAGGGGTGTGCAAAACGGGCTGTATTCGATTCGGATTCAGCCCAAATCAGGGACAGTGATCCGATTCATTGATTCGGACCCCTGTCCCGATTCAATTTGGCCGAATCTGAAGATTTGACACTGATTCAGAGAATCAGTGATTCAGCCATAGACACAGCTTTAAATGTTTTTTCTGCATATCTCAAGGTACCAGGCACAGCTTGTGAATGCTGCGATAGTGGGGCAGATGCAGCATACTTCCAGTCCGCTTCTGGGTCCACCACTGAGCATGCAGGGGACCCCCCTCGTTCGGCAATTAGCCACAAGGGGACACTGGGTACCCCCCAGACCCAGGAGCCACCAGACGCCCAACCAGGGGGGTACGGAGGGTCTCCCCGTGCACTCCTTGGCAGACCCAGAAGTGGACCAGAAGTGCTTCCCGAGAGTGCTGGGGACCCCCCTGTGCTCCCACGGGATGCTCCATCCACCCCACCATTACAGCATTCATGAGCTGCCTGGTACCTTAAAGTATGTAGAAAAAACATTTAAAGCTGTGTCTATGTCCGAATCGTTGAATCTTTCCGAATCTCTCCAAATCAACTCAGAGGGTTCTGATTCAATTTGGAGAGATAACAGGGTCTCCTGATTCGATTCAGATTTGGAGATTCGGCCACCGAATTGGGCTGAATCTCCACCAAATTGAATCAGCGACCGAAGCTTTGCACAGCCCTAGTAATTTTCATTCTTTAGCTTTCAGGCTTAAGCACCTCACCTTGAGACACACACATACACAGAGAAAAATCACAGAACCATGAGGTGTGGTTGCTTGTGAGAAGACTAACACTGCAAACAAGCGCGCTCTATGGCACAGTGAGATCAGGCGCAGTTCATTGCAAGTCAAGCTGCAGCAGCAGTAGCCAAACATCCTTGACAGTTCTAAACTGGCATAGTGTCACACACAAGTATGTCACAGTGTGCTCACCATACGTATTTCCACAAAGTTGGGGGTCCAGCAATGGACATATGGCTCCTGACATCACTGTTTAGCAGAAGCGGGGCATACGCAAGTGTTTATGGGTAGAGCATTGAATAGTGCAGAATTAGGAGTTAGCAACTCTGTCCATGACTCCTTTATCCACATCAGGATTTACAGAGCCCTATGGGGTGGTCCTAGACCAATGGTTCTCAACCTTTTCAGACTCAAGGCACCTCTCAAAAAATGCCACCTCGTTCACTCATTTTTTGACTAGAAAAAAATAACAGAGCAGTTCTGTTGCAAAGAACTCAGATCACAGTAAGCCAGAATGTATTTGACACTATGGATTCCTATTTGAAACCTCTTGGTTCATTTTGTGAATCATGTGTAGGTGCTAATATTGCATGGCGCCCTGAAAAGGATCTCACAGCACCATAGGGTACCATAGCACTCTGGCTGAGAATCACTGTCCTACATGGTATAGGCTATCTTGGTCGATCTGAAAACTAGGGAGCCGGAGATGATTGCAGCTCTGTCTAGATCCAGTACCATCCAGAATCCTCTCTGCATTCAGTACAACCAAGTCTTTACAGTGAGGACACTCCAGCAATCTTGTGCTTGACTGACACACAGTTTTTGTACTACTATAAACATCTGAATTAGGCTAAAGGTAGCCTACTAAAGAGGTATGGCTCTGTACTCAAATAGCTGTACTGGTACATCCCCTAATGTGGATCCATTTAAAATGACATAACAATACCATATACCAATATGGTGTTTCCTCCTTCTGGTATAGTAACAGCTATACCAGTATGAGTTACTTGGCAGTGGTGTATCCACACTGAGGAGATAGTACTGCTTGAACTATACTAAAAGTTTCATCCTGGGTGTACTTATCACCTTCTCAGATCCCACCTGCACAGAAATTCACAGGTACTTGGAAAGGTCATCACTATACTCTCCACGTAACTGGAGAGGAACAGCCAAATTTTCAGCTGGCTTCCAAGTTTCCAGCTTCCAAGTTTGCAAATACAAATCA